CAGCTGCTACGGCTTTCAGGGAGTCTGTCGAGACCCCCGGCAGAACGGGACAGATGTGTTCCGTCAGCGGTTAAGTGAACGTGTAGTGGTTGCGTCTGTCCGACACCCCCGTTACTCTTGACGCCACAGACGAGGTCACTCAGGGCATAGGACCTCGCGCGAAAGCAGTGTTCCCGCGTGCCTCGGGCCTATGCGCAAACTGACCCTCGCCCAGGCTAGCCAGCCTTCGCCTATCTCAAGGTCGCGCCACTACCTCTAGTCTGGACATTGGTCGCGTGATTGGCCGCCGTAACAAAGCATGCGCCGACATTGCGGCGATGCCTGAGGCTCTCGTCATTCAAGAATTGACGCCCTGGCAGCCGGACTGCAGTCATTGGAGAGTCAATCTCTTACCACTGATCATCCTATCCTTCTGTAGAATACACTATTCCTAACAATTTGGCTTTCCCACCGTCTTCTCCCCTCACCTAAAGGAACTATGGGCCTGGAGGATCGTAGCTGTTAGAGTTAACCTTCTTAGCCTTAACACTTATTCTGTAAAAGTTCATCAATTAGTGTACTTAAAGGATGTTTTCAAAAAGAGACCATGTTCTTCTTCTGTCAGTATATGGGAGAAACTGCGCATGATTTTTAACGGTGTCATTTCTCTCAGTATCATTCCCAGTGGGGCGCTGGACGAATCTCTGGACCACCTGATTCGTCTGATGCTGCCGGTGTCTGAGCTCGAGGCCCTGTGTGCATTCCAGTCCGAGGAACTCTGCGATGAACAGAGTGCACAAAACTTCAGTGCGACCGGTGGTTTGGAGTCCACTGATGCCACAGAATCTCTCAGCACTCAGCCGATGGCTGACACGATGATGAACGACCTCGTGGAAACTGAACCACCTACGTGTACTTCTCCGCCTTTGCTTGATGACCAAAGGCGGACTTCGGCGGCGACCAACTTGCAAGTAAGGTTTCCTTTTCGGCTACATATTCACTTGCACTTCCGTAATAGGTTTCTGTTTGGAAAGGGCTCACTTATGACTGGCACAGAAAGCAGATTGCACAACTGGTTTGCATGCTCACTAGAAACAGGTACAGGTGAACCGTTTGTCCTAACAATGTGTTCCTTATCACGCATTCGCTGTTCCGTCGATTCGAGGCACACAAAATTGGCTCTTTGAGAGGTCACTCTTGCTTGCGGAATATGGATCTCAAATGAGTACTGAAAACATCCAGTAGTATGAGAGGTGGTTGCCACCGCGGATGAAGTAGGTCCAAGTCCTAAAACATGAGCTAAACTGCAGTATTTGGGCTCATAACCCTGTCCTAGAGGTCTTGTATCTTCCATTTTTAGCATCGTGTTTACACCCCTCGAACTGGAGGGGAAATCGACTGGAATTTTTGACAGCCGGTCCAGTCCGCCCCAGTCCACCGAAGACAAATAACAGGAAGTAGTTTACTTGTACGAGTGTTTATGTAGGGTGGTCTACGCAGTAAATGTTCCCACGCTATCAGAAAAGCGTTGAGTTTAGGGTAGACTATGATCGATCCCTCGAAATGGGCCATGGCCCCATCCACCCCGTTTGTTGGAGGCCGTAGGGGGGAGAGAGGGTGGAAATTCATTAACAGGAATGAATATGAGGGTTAAGTGCAGGTTCAGGTTCAGGTTCAGGTTTTTATTGAGGGAAATATAGGTAAATA